CACTAACAATTTTGCTGCTGGGTTTGAACTGCCAACCATGTGGCTCACAGCCCAGTGCTCCCCGTAGCAATGCTTTTTGACTCATTCTCATATACATATTATGTGTGTGTATGTGTGTGTGTGTGAGAGAGAGAGAGTGAGAGTGAAAACGAAAACAAACCTCATTGCTGTTAAGCGATTCCAACTCATAACAACTGTATAGGACAGAGTAGAATTGCTCCTTTGGGTTTATTGAGATTGTAAATCTATGGAAGTAGGCAGCCTCATCTTTCTACCGTGGAGCTTCTGGTGGGTTTGAACCACTGACCTTGCTTTTAGCAATCCAATACTTACAGTGTCACCAGAGCTCCTTGTGTGTAATAGTAAAGTAGTTAACTTGGGTAGTAGTTAGAGCAGCTAGATTTGCAAAATGTCCTTTGTACTTGCCACACAGGTAGACATGTGCATTGATAGAGAAACTTCCCTGGAGTAAAGAATTACTGATTGTTGAATTCTAGGAATTCTAGGGTTGTTTCAAGTAACTATAACTTTTTTTGTGGGAATTTCAGAATGTTTACTATTTTATTTTTTATTGTTGGTAGGGACATTTACTATTTATATCCCAACTGTTGTTGTTGTTAAGTGCTGTAGAGTTGATTCCAACTCATAGCAACCCTGTATAGAGTTTCCAAGGAGCAGCTGGTCAGCTTGGACCACTGACCTTATGGTCTAGCGCATTAACCCACAGCCCCACCCCAAAACTCCATATAGCAACTAAGTTATAGAAATGCTGAAATTGAACATTTCTCACTTTTATATTACCGGATCTTTTACTCTTTTCTAACCCCATCTTTATAATCTAATCTTATTTCCCACTCCTTTTCTCTGTTCTTTCCCTATCATCGCTTAGCTGAAACTTCCAAACCAGCAAGGTTTTTGAGTGCTCTCTGGTTTTATGAGTCTTTTCTCTGCTTGGAATACAATGTCATGACTGCATCTTCTTGACAGAGGACATCCTTTAAAATTCCAAATTTTACATTAGAAGGTTTTGGTATTTGTCTAGAGTTGTAATTTCTCCCTTGTCTGGGTTTCTATAACATTTTTTTTTTTTTCAAAAAAAAAAAACAGAAAACTTTTTATTGTGAATTGAGTTAAGGCTTATAGAGCACATCATCAAGTTTACACTCAGCAAGTCATATACTTGATTTCATTACAATGATTGCAATCCCTTCCATATCTTTACCTTTAATCACTTTAACTCTTGGATTTTTGTTCCCGTGCTCCTGGTAACTATCCTATTGTTGCTAAGTACCATATAGTTGGTTCTGATTCATAGCAACCCTGTATAGGGTTTCCGAGGAACAACTGGTAGGTTTGAACCACCGACCTTGCAGTTAGCATTCCAGTGCTTATCCTATCATAGAATGCTTCTTTTATTAAGAAAATCTTATATTAACTTTACAAAAGTGATCTCAGACAATTTTTATCCTTTTGTGATTGACTAATTTTACTAAGTATAATGTCTTCCAGGTTCATCCATGTCATGAGATGTATTGCATATAATATCCTTAGTCTTCGTTCAGTGTTGAGTAGTATTCAACTATGTGTATATACCAAAGTTTGTTTAAACATTCTGTAATGGCATTTAGCTGTCTCTATTTTGTTGCTATTGTGAATAGTGCTGTGATGAACATTGGTGTGTATGTACGTATTCATGTCATAGCTCTTCTTGAGAATGTATGGTAAGTAGAGGGATTGCTGGATCATACGGTATATCTGTTTCCAACATTTTGAGGAAGTGTCACGGTGTTGTCCACAATGGTTGTACCATTTTACAGTCCCACCAGCAGTGTAGGAGGGTCCCAATCTCTCCATACCCTCACTAGCATTTGTGGTTTTCTTTTTATGTAAGCTTTATAATTAATGGTCCTTTGTCAAAGATAAACTGACCCTAGGTGGATGGATTTACTCCTGGATTTTCAGTTCTGTTCCATTGATCTTTGTGTCTTTTGTTGTACCTGTACCAGGTTGTTTTGACTACTGTGACTGTGTGTAGGTTGTAAGATTGGCAAGTGAGAGACCTCCCACTTTGTTGTTCTTTTTTAATAATGCTTGCTTATCCAGGGTCTCTTTCTTTTTCATATAATGTTATTGATGAGTTTTTTTCCTCTTTAAAGAATGATGTTCAAGTCTGCATTGGGATTGTGTTATATATAGATTACTTAAGGTTGTGTTGACATTTTCACAATGTTAACTCTTCCTATCCATGAGTACCAAATAGTCCCCCATTTCTGCTGGTCTCTTTGGGTTTCTTGTAGTGGTGTTATGGAGTAGGTTTTGACTCATAGGGACTCTGTATAGGGTTTCCAAGGCTGCAAATCTTTATGGGAGCAGAAAGCCTCATCTTTCTCCCGCGGAGCGGCTGGTAGTTTCGAACCGCTGACCTTAAGGTTCGCAGCCCGATTCGTAACCACCCACCACTTTGCTGATCTTTCAATGAGTTTTAATAATTTTCTTGCTTAGTCTCTGGAATTTTTTAAGTACTGAATCATATCATCTGTAAATAGAGTTTTACTTTTTTTGCCAATTTGGGCGCCTTTAATTTCTCTTTCTTGTCTTACAGCTCTGGATATGATTTCCACTACATTCTGTTGTACATAGGGTCGCTATGAGTCGGTACCAACTAGATGGCACCTAACAACAACAGTTCTGAATAGGAGTTGTGGTAAAGGGTATTTTTGTCTGGTTGCTGTTCATAAGGGGAATGTTTATAATTTCTCACCATTGACAGTGATATTGGCTTTGTATATTGTTGTTGTTAAGTGCTGTTGAGTTGGTTTCTACCCATGGCGAGCCTGTATAGGTTTCCTAGAAGTGTATGGTAAGCTTGAACCGCCTTCCTTGTGGTTCAAATTGACGTTGAAGTCCAATGCATTAACCAACAGCACCACATCACATTATGTTGAAGAATTTTTCTTTCTATTCCTATTTTGTTGAGTGGTTTTTATCAGGAATGAGTGTTGGATTTTGTCAAATGCCTTTTCTCCTTCAATTGATGTGATCATGTGTTGTTGTTGTTTTTTTTAACCCTTGTTTTATTTGTGTGGCAGATTATGTTTTTTACATTTTTTTAAAATTTTGAACTGAAAACCTGATATGAATCCCAATGATCATGATGTATTATTTTTTGATATATTGTGGGATTCTATTAGCTAGGATTTTGTTGAGATTTTGCATCAGCGTTCATGAGGGATATTGGTCTATAATTTTCTTTTCTTGGTGATGTCTTTGCATGGTTTTGGTATCAGAGTTACGCTTACCTTATAATATGAGCTCAGGCATTTTCTATTCTACGTTCTGGAATAGTTTGAGTAGAATTGATGTCTGTTCCTTCCTGAATGTCTGGTATAATTCAGCAATAATGCTATTTGGGATGGATTTTTTTTAATTGGGAGTTTGTAAGTGATTGATTTTTTTTCTTCTCTTGTTACAGGCCTGATCCAGTTTTCTACTTAAGTCTGTGTTAGTTTAGGTAGGTCGTGTGTTTCTAGAATTTGT